TCAAACCACCACACCAGCCCTCCTGCCCGCAGCACTCAGGCGTGTTTTCCAGGTTTGTTCACATTAAATTTATCAATTGATGGTGGCTTTGTCCAGGCACAGCCATGGGATGGACTCGGGAGGCAGAGCATCCACGGCTCTGGAGTGAGATGCCTCCCCTGCTGCTCGGGGCTGGGGATTGGGACCACGCGTGTGAGCCACAGAGAGAGCAGAACCCGCCTGGGAGTTCAGACGAAGGGCAACGCAAGGATTTCCTTAGAAAGGAAATGAAGCAAGGGCAGAAGAAGGAAGGGCAGCTGTAATTCTGTGTCGTTGGTGGCACACAGAAAATGGCAGGGGAAGATCAAGGCTCTGAAGAGGATTTTCTCTCCTTCCCAGGGGCTCCAGCCTTCCCACCTGCCATAAATAGCCTCCAGTTTGCTTTGCTGAGGAGCAAGCTGGGAGTTGAGAAGACTCCAGGAACAATTTTTTGCTGGAGAACAGGGAACCCCCCTCCTCTGCAGCAGCAGGGCACAAGGGAGGGCAGGCAGCTATAAAGCATCAGCCAACCCACCTTGTGAAAGGACACTGCACGGCTAAAAGGATCAGATAAAAGCCACGACAATCCAAATGGAACTGGTCCCCATGAGGAGAGCAGAAATGAGCTGGGCTGTTGCCTTCATCGTGTCAAAGACAAGAGGGACAGCAGCTCTGGTGAGAAACCAGTGGCACCAGTGGCAAAGCAGAGCAGCACCATTGACACAGGGTGACCCAAGAGTGGGTGCTCTGGCTGCAGGGGGGCAACCAGGGCTCAGGGGGGTGCAGAAAGAGAGAGGGCACGGGCATGGATACCCTGCTCTAGTTCATGGCAAAGCTGCCCAGGAACATCAGTCCTACTCTTCTGCTAGGGAAGACAGGAGAGAACTAAATCCAGGGAGGAAGAGCAAACACCAGATCAGCTCAAACCACAGGGAGTTGGGGCTAATTCTCCCTCCACAGGTCTTGGCTGGGGTCTTTGCCAGGCAGGCAGCAGCAGGACAATGTCCACTGTCCTGTGCCGGGCCAGGGCACACACAGCAGGGAGTTGTACAGCCTTTCAGTCTCCTTTTGCTCTCTAAATACTCTTCTCCCTCCCTCGTTCCTGACACGTTTGTTCCAGGCTTCTATCCTTACCTACAATCATTAGCCACGCCAAAGGATTTTGGTTAATGCAAAAAAAAGGGAAAGATTTTTATTCCACCTACAAATCTTCCTTGGCTCACAGCTCCGGGACTGTGGGGAGAAATCCAGCTCTGGAGAAAGCCAGAGAGCAAACGCCTTGCACTGCTCCCGTGCCAAGCACTGCAGGATGGATTTACTGCTGCTGAAAGATGCTCAGTTGCCTGGCTTTGATATTCTGCTTGGAGGAAGCCCTGCGGAGGAGTGAGGTTTTTGGGGAGGGGGGTTGGCAGATGAGAACAGGGACGGTGCCTTGTACCCGGGGTGGCACAGGGACAGCAGCAGCGCTGCCTGGTTGGAACCACTGGGCTGGAAGCACTGGGCTCCAGGAGGGATGCGGGAAGCAAGGCAGGGTCAGAGAGCATCTGAAGAGAAGACACCGTGTCCTGGTGGGTTGGTTGGGGACAAGGGACCCGGGAAAGGGCTCAGAGCTGCAGCTGCAGGGACTGGGCAGCACAGCGGGGGCTTCACCGCAAACAGTAAATTTGACAAAAACAAATAAACAAAATAAGAGTTCCAAGGGACAGAAAGAATTCATGGCTTCAGGTCAAATTCAGCAAATATTTTTAGCCCGAAGAGGGAGGGTTCTAAAACCCCATTTTAAAATTTTGAGAGATTTTTTGTTTTGCAATTGTCTAGATGAGAATTCGTTAGTGCCTTCCCAGTGAGGATGCCTCCATTTCAAAAAGAGGCACAGCATCATCAAAAGGGTTAAGCAACTCAACAAAATCTGCCAGGTTGGTCAGGATCACTTTGTTTCACTGAAGCCTCCGAACATCGCTGTTTCAGTTTGACTGAAACAATTTTCCTTTTCCCCATGGGATTTTTTTTGGTTCAGCCACAGAACTGAAAAATCCATTATTAGCCTGGCTGTAATGCAAACTTCTCCGCACCCCCCCAGCCTGCAGGCCTGCCCAGCCTCTCACTGTGCTTAAATAGCCCTGAAATAGTATTGAATCATATGGCACACTCAGCTCTCAGCGTCCCTGCAGAGGTTTCCACAGGGAGTGGGTACACTGGATGCGACAGGGACACTTATCTGTTCTGCAACAACTGCATTATTTACTGTAATTGCCGGATAGGGCTGGGTACAAATCATTTTCTTAAAGGTTTAATACTTCATAGCCTGTTATCAGCCTCTGCATTGGTCTCTGGAATGAGAATTTAGGTAAGAAAAACTTTTCCTAAGGTCGCCATTCCTACAAACCGATGACCAGCTTTCCCTTTCCACAGCACAAACCTCCTTCCAGAATCAGCTAATGCATCTGCCTCCAGAGGGTGGCTGGACAAGTTCCTGCCCCCTAGCCACTGGCAGCACCATGGAGCATCCCAGGAATAATGATGCTCAGGAGGCAGCTCTAATTAAGCCCTGGTTGGGAAAGTAGAGAGGTAGAGAAGTGTTTTGTCAGTGTAGTTTTATAACCTCCTCTAACCTCTTCTGCTCTTGGCTGTACAAATAAAACAGCCTTTCAGTACCAGTCCCTAAATCTCCTGTTGCCAAAGCAATGACCTGTCCATTGCCCTGCAGTCCCAGCAGTGAGAAGCCTCCTCTCCTTTTAAAGGGGTTCTACTTACTGGTCACCTCTGAGAGCAAGGAAATGGACCTCGATGCCAAGAAGAAGTTTAATCCAAACTTCACACTTCAGACCAGAATGGGACTCCTGGATCTCTGTTTACAGCTGAAGGGGCTGTATGTGTCCACCTAGGAAGCACTTGTAGGAATAAAGACGTTTGTGCAAATGGAATAAACAAACTGGCCTCAGATAAGGTGAAAAAGCAATGCTGGGGAAGGATCCTGAAGCAAGGCAAACTCCCTGGGATCTCATCCCACACAGGTGTATGAGCTGATCTCACAGAGAGCTGAGCAAACCTACTAGAAACCACGACTGTAGGAAAAAAAAAGAAACAGAGAGAGAGAGTGGAGGAAATATTCGCTATTTTTTCAGTTCACCAAAACCACTTCCCTTCTGCAAACATGTTAATGATCCTCTCTGAGCATTTCTGACCTGCTACTCTCGCCTCGGATTCCAGCAGAGTAGAAAATGAGCTCACGAGATTCAACTTCCTCAGCCAAGTGCTGCAAAAATCACTTGTGGTACAAAGGAAAAGAGTTACAATTAACAGCCCGTGCTCCAATAGTCTGCTTGTGGCGGGTGGTGCGATTAAACTGAAACCTAAAAAATTCAACCTTCTTCCATAGTTGCTGCTCTGCCGCTCGTCCCCATCCCAAGAAAGCCCCAAGTGAATGAATGGATGAGGCATCGAAGCGTTTTCCAGAGCCAAGGTGGGTGCCCAAGTCCAGGTGGGTGGCTGGGAAGGGAAGCAGTTGGCTTTGGAGATGCTGGCAGCAATCTGGGCTGCTCTGTCCCCGCTCCCTCCCGCACAGCCCAGTGCTCTGCTCGGCTCTCACTTGCTCTGCATCCCACGGAATTTCCATGCCCTGTGCTCCCATGACACAGGCAGCCCCACAGTGCACACACATTTCCACTACCAGTTTTTATCATCTGCCTGACAACTAATTAATATTTGCCCAATGCGTTGGAGTTCTCTGATGCAAGGTGCCAGAACAGGGTGAAAGGGTTTTTTTTTTTTTTAAATCATTTTAGGGTGACTTTATCATTCATGTGGGGGAGATACCAGAGATAAGCAGAACCTGGAAAAGCTGCAGTTTACACAGTTCAGCTGAGGTCCCTGCTGCAAATCTCTCCTGCTTCCCCACAGCCTCCACTTCTGAGCAGTCCTGGACTCACCAGTGGGGCTCCATCCCTGTCTTATTCTCGGGGAGGGACAACAGAGACATGAAGGACACTGAGACTCACGGACTCGGGTAATTTGTAACGCAAAGCTGGGGGTTTGGGCACTTAAGCTTATGGAAGCTGCTGCACCAACTCACTGGTGAAATGCCTGTAAAACACACTCAATACGTTTCACCCCAGAATATCGCAATGCCGTGTGAATTAGGAGGGAAGCAATTTAGATCCTTGAAACTGCACTTGGATGAAAGTTAAAAGTGTAAAATTCTGAAATCTGACATATGAATCCTTCCCCCTTCCTCCCTCTGCTTTCACAGTGTATGCACAGACCTGACACCTTCTGACATTTACCGATCTATATACGCTCTCTTACTGTAAGCATGCGGGAGGAAAAGGTGTGTATGCAAGCACTGAAATGCAGTTTCAGCATTTGTAGATGCACTTTCAGTTCATTTATTGTAGCCTTCTAAATACTGGAAGACAGCCTAGTTAGAATCTAGCCCCAGCTGAAAATGTGAATTACAATACAAAGTCATACTAAGATCTACTTAAGATGATTTTCAGCCTTTCTAAAAGTATTGTGACCTGAGCTTCTCAGGAAGAGACAAGCTCTTACAGAACAGCCTGCAAAACTACTTCTCTAATAGGCTGAGAAGCAGCAAAAAGAGTGGTTGCTTCTATATTTAATTACCTGGAAGATGCCCAGGCACCACAATAACGGGGGCTGTATAAATACCTACATAGATTAGCTTTAATGAATACATCACTGCAGAGACTCCCCCCTGAGAAGCCACTGACCCTCCCAAGACAAACATCCTCGAGAAACTAAGCTACCAGGTATATTTTGAAGTAAGAGGCAGAAAAGTGAAAACCTGACCCTGGTCCCGCAGCAAATGAGTGCAAAATCTCTGTTATTTTCATCACCATCTACAAGCCGCAAACCTCTTAGGGCAACACTAGAAACTAGAAGTTCCTGCACTCCAAGGCAAGGGAGGTCACAGTCTGGGCTGTCAGGGAATGTGGCTACTTGCCTGTGATTCAGTCTCTTACCTCAGTGGGATCTTAATAGCCAGGTACCTGTCGATGGCCACCGCCAGCAAGCTGAAAATGGAGCTTTGGGTCAGCACCAGGACGAAGCAGGCGAAGAAGAGGCAGCTGTGAAAATACACTTCCAGTCCAATGCTGATGGTGATGGCGAAAGGGATGGCTAACAAACCCACCGCGATGTCAGCCACCGCCAGGGACACCAGGAAATAGTTGGTGGCGTTCTTCAAGGTACTGTTGATGGCCACAGCCCAGCAGACCAGGACGTTGCCGGCGATGGACAGCACAGCGATGATCAGTTCCAGCACGATATAGGTGGTTTTCATCGTGTCCATGGCGAGAGCCCAAGGCGAGGAGCTAGAACCGTTCATAACAAAAAGGTACTTTCCACCGGGCGCCCGTCCGCAGGTACCAACAGGCCACGGGGCAGCTCTTCCCGACGAGAAACACCCATCCCCGGGCTCACCGCCGCCTCCCGCCCGGCCGCCGGGCCGTGGGGGGGCCGGAGGGGCGAGGCGGGCCCCGGGCCGCGGCCCCC